GCTCCACTGCAATGCACTTGCAACATTGTAAAACGAGCAAACAACTTGGGTCTTTTTGTTGTTGATTGGGGAACAGCAACAACAACAACAAAACAGCAAGAAAAATATTACAATAACAATAAATAATAATAATAAGTAAGAACTAAACAGCATAAACACCCGCAAGCAACACTTCAATTCTTCACCTCATCTTCCCACCCCCTTTGTGTGTGTGTGTGTGTGTGTGCCCAAGGTGCATTTGCTTGCTTGCTTTCGTATACACTTGCATTTTCCATTGCATTCCCAATTTGCCACAGAGCGAAGGCGAGTTCGAATCGACGTCGTTACGATGCGAACTCGAAACGACGTCAAATCAAATTAATTTTTTCTATAAATTTTTTTTTACTGTATTACACTAAAATTTAATCAGCTATAAAACTGCTTTATATTTTTTATTTTCCTTCAGATTGAAAAGTTTTAAATTTTTAGGAATGCTTGCTGAATTTTTTATTTATAAATATTGCTCACAATTTGAAATTGGATTTGTATAGTTCACCAGAACGAGTCGGAAACGACCGCTTTACTAAGTCGTTTGGCAAATTGGGTTGGCTGGCATTGCATTAATGACGCCAAGCTTAGTGAGTGAGTAAGTATCCATTGGCAGTAAGTAAGTAGTTATGCATCGAGGTATGTGCTCGTATGCACATACATACATACAGACAAAAGTGCCTATATTTATTTATGTATTTATAATTTATTTTTCAGACATGACTGATTCCCCAAGTCGACTTAAGACGCTCATTAGTATAATAATGTAAAAGTATTGTCGATTCTTAGGCTTGTGCATACGTATGCATGTTTTTAAGTATGCGTGTGTGCTTCTAATTGTTGTGTATGTATTTTGTAATGGTTTTCTTCTATTGTTGTATGTACAAGAATACCTTGATAGCTGGTAAACGTCAGTCAGCGAGTAGTCTTGGGCCCATCGAGGCGCTGCTGCTGGCGCTGTGCAAGTGTAAATCGCGTCATCGTGTCTACTTTGTTTGGAATTCGGAAATAGCGCAATTCTTGCTAGCTTATGCAATTTGTTACTACGATTTTGTTGCTATTCGATGCGTCAAGCCGGAAATTGATTTGCCAATAGTTTTCTTTTTTCGGATTAGGAAGCGGAAAATTGATTTATGCGGTTAGCGTTAGCAGTGGTAGACGGTCAAAGGTTTACGAAACGTGCGATGGGCAGGAATTTCCTATTAGAAATGCATAAGTTGGTACTTATTTTTACAAAAGTCTACTAGGTGGCAAGAGTGCTCTCAAAACAGTGACCCTCTTCGGAGTGGTTTTAGGCTGGTACTTAACTACGTTTGAATTTCTCTTGCGCTCACGGCATTGTGGATAAGAGTAACTTAACAAGTAATTTTTAGCAAAAAAAAAACCCGACTTAAAAAAAAATATATATATCTATATATTTCATGATCCAATGATCGGATCTAAACCAAATTAGTATGGGACCACCTCTGAGACACTACCTTTCCGCAAAAGGAATTATTGAAATCGGTTGACGTGGTGCAAAGTTATGCAGTAACATACATAAAAAAAAAAAAAAAAACAAGTAAGAAAGGCTAAGTTCGGGCGGAGCCGAACATTAAATACCCGGCGCAAGTATTAAATATATGTTTTTTCACCCTTCCGAAACCTTCCGCTAGATGGTAAGCCGAGTTGTAACAATTTTGAGTAAATTAGCGTCCTTCAATTTCGAAATATTGAAGTTTCAAGCAATTCTTAAATTTACCGTTATATGAGAATCGGCCGTTATATTAGTCCAAGTACAATAACCATACCGAGTTTGGTACAAATTGGTAGAACGGTTACCGGTATACTTATATGTGATCATAAGTGGGCGGTGCCACTCCCATTTTCCAAAATTTTACCATAAACGCATTTCTTGGTAAAGAATTGTTGCAACCATCAATTTTGAAAAAATGAGCTTCAATATTTAATGATTTATCGAAGATTTTGTATTTCTCTAAATTACCGTTATATGGGATGTGGGCGTGGTTATTGTCCGATTTTAAAAAGTTTCGGCGGTTTTTTATGCTGTACCAAGGCCAACAACTGTGCCAAGTTTGGAAGAAATTGGTGCAGCGGTTACCAAGATATACACATGTAACCATAAGTGGGCGTGGCTACGCCCATTTTCCAAGAATTTATATTATTCTTATTTTTCGTCTAAAACTTATTATAAATATCAATTTTGAGTGAATAATCTCCAGTAGTTACTAAAATATTGCAGTTTTCATATTTCTGAAAATTACCGTTATATGGGAAATAGGCGTGGTTATTGAGCGATTTTAAAAATTTTCGGCCATTTGGTATGTTATGCGAAGGCCAACAACTGTGCCAAGTTTGGAAGAAATTGGGGCAGCGGTTACCAAGATATACACATGTAACCATAAGTGGGCGTGGCTACGCCCATTTTCCAAAAATTTATAATATTCTTATTTTTCGTCTAAAAATTATTGTAAATATCAATTTTGAGTGAATTATCTTCAGTAGTTACTAAAATATCGCAGTTTTCGTATTTCTGGAAATTACCGTTATATGGGAAGTGGGCGTGGTTAAAGTCCGATTTCGGCCATTTTCAATACCAACCTACCTTGGATTAAGGGAAACCTACATACCAAATTTCGTTGAGATATCTCAATTTTTGCTCGAGTTATCGTGTACACGGACAGACGGACAGACGGACAGACGGACAGACGGACAGACGGACAGACGGACGGACAGACAGACATGGCTTAATCGATTTCTTTTTTCATCCTGATCATTTATGTATACATTTGTCTATATCTATCTCGATTCGTTTTGGCTGTTACAAACAACCGTTATGTGAACAAAATTAATATACCCTTGTGCACAAGTGCGCTCGGGTATAAAAATATCCCGACGAACTGATAACCTCCTCCTTTTTTGGAAGTCGGTTAAAAATAGTGGTGCCTTTCGGGCAGTAAACAAGTCCCGTCAAAGTTGATTGTTAAGGTTGGTTCAATAAGTTCTATGTTCTATGTAGAAAAAAAAATCCTTTTTTTTTAAGTTAAAAGTGTACCTAGATGCTGCTCTACGAGTATTTCTGCATCAAAAACAAAATTTCGAAAGAAATGTCGCTTACCTCGTTTGGCGATTAAGTGTCGAAATGATTGTCCGTCATCGACGAATATTGTATTCAATTTATTTTCTGAGAGACAACTCAGCCATCATAGCCAACTTTTACATGGGTTCCTACTATTAGTCAACTCTTTTTAGTCTATAAGCTGTCTCCGACTATCACTACACGGTATTTACTTTAGAAAGATTTTATGAGATTACACCCACAAGTATAGGAAGTATGTGTGACGAGCTGATCCCATGTTCATCTTTCCAAGAACCTTAAAGTGATCGAAGAAAATAACTGTAAAATGCTTTGTAATTAACAAAAGGTATCTCGCGATCGTCCTGCCCAGATAATTCTATGTTTTTCACTAAATTTAAATGAAAACGAATTAAAGCCACCAAAAATTTCTTCAAACTTTGCCCACAGAGAGCCACAAGGCGCGAACGAAAGTAGGGTACGAATGAAGAGTGCCACTGCACCTTGGCCTACTCCTGTAAGTCCTACAGGTGCTTAGACAATCACACATCAAGTCTGCAGTACGAGATGAGACATCGCATCCAAAAGAGTCTCAGTGTCATCGCATCTTCGATCATTTAAACCAATTGTAAATGATGCCAAAACCTATAAGGATGAGTCCTTGCTAGTAGACACCGGCTCAATTTAATCCCCGTAAGAAACTAGAGCCTTTTAATTTAAAGTAAGGGGCACCTAAAAGCATTAAACATCAAACTTCTTATTTCTCGTTCTACCAGAATTGGCTGGGCTGATTTTTAATTGCTTGTTGCTTCATATTGCATATTTTTAAGGGTCACAGCTTTTCATTTAGCGAATTTTAGGATTCTAAAGACCTCTACGCTAAATTGCGCGCGCTAAACATCTCTAAGTGAATAGAAAGTGTGCCTATCAATGTGCAACAGGAAAGCTGAAGAGATTCAATAAGAAAGTGTGATCATGAGGAACGGCCACTTCTTGGTAGGCGTTGCATACCTTTAGGCGATACCTGCGTTTTTCTCGATTTCAACTGCAGCAATGATGCGCCTAAAAGTATGAAATATTAAAAGCCTCAGTTGATCAACTTGAAATTTGAAATTGGGCCAACCATGGTTCTCTAAAAATTTTGCATAATTTTAGGCTCACCTGCTATTCATTTAGCTATTTTCAGCTTGATGGTTTCTGGAATCTCATTGCAACAGTCGCATGCTTCAAGTTATGATAAAATAACAGTCTGAGAAAGTATTTAGGGGGTCGAGCGTCTTCATTTTGAAACGTTGCATATTTTCAGGTGAATATGCCAATCATTTAAGTATTTTTGGTGTTAGAAATTCAGCGTAGTGATTTCTGGAATTCCACAGCAGCTCTATGCTAAAAAGAAGATTGCGGTTTTCTCCTGATTTGAGATCAGTCTCAGCAAATTCTTGTTAAGAAAAGATTTCGGCTGGATTCCAACAAACATTTAGGTTAAAGAACGTTTAGAAAACGATTCGAATTCTAATAAGTTTCTCTCAGGTGGAAGGTTAGAAGACGATTAGAGAAACTGTCGAGAACTATAGCATTCTCTACAAAAAGTGGACTGAGTACTCAATATCGAGAAAGAGGTTAGATAGCTAATCGTTTTTTCACGTTGAATTCTAATTGTTTTCCAGTGTCTAGCGTTTTTTCTAATCATTCTCTAATCGAATTATAACACAGTTCTCTAACCTAATTTAGAACTACATATTTACTTATATTGGAATTTTAATGTAAAATCAAAATACTTCTCTAACGCTAGAAACTGTGTTTGCTGGGAAAAAGTTATTTATACATAAATACTTTTTGTTCTTTTTTTTTGCTAATCGATCGCAAGCTAATAATTTTTTCCTATTTTCACTTCCAGGTTTGTGCCGAAGAGAAATGCCAAGAGGAGGTCGTACTATTGGCGCTCAATTATATGGATCGTTTTCTATCCACAAAATCGGTAACAAAAACACATCTGCAAATATTGGCAGCGGCCTGTCTGCTATTAGCCTCGAAATTGCGAGAGCCCAGCTGTCGGGCGTTATCTGCCGAATTGTTGGTATTCTACACGGACAACAGCATATACAAAGGCGATTTAATTGTGAGTACCTTCCGAAGCGTAAATATTTCCATACTAATGAATAAATATTTTACCAAGTAATTTAATTATGTACGAAACGTTAGTGGTTCAAAAGAAAAAAAAATCTCTGCAGCCCAACACAAACAACAGAAAAATATTTCGTTGGCATGTAACTATGTACATATGTAGCGCGACTTCCTGTTTCGGCTAGGCACGCATCCAGGAATTATCACCTCTCATCTTCCGCAAACTTTGTGCCATTAGTACCAGGTACTCGTACTACTTGAAACTGTTACATTTAGAATTTGCTTGCCATATTTTCATCAGCTTGTCCAAATATTTTCGCTCTCCTATCGGAAAAGTGCTAATCCCACGAGCAGTTGAAGTATTGCGATCATTCCTAATTGTAAATAACTGCTAGCAAATAAACGTCTACCTACATACGCCACGTCTACCATACTCACAAACGTGACAGTGTGACGAAGGCACGCATGCGCGCACATTGAACTTGAGAAACGAAGATTGCTGTTTGTCTGACCGTTCGTTCGTTCGTTCATTCATCCGCCACCACCAACATTTTTCTTGCCATTCTTGGCTGATGATGCTGTAACTGTGTGGGCTCTTAGCGAAAAGAAAAATGCTAAAATACAAAGGTATTGGAAATATCGTTTGAAAATTTAACATAGTGCTAAAAAATTCACACGCAGCTTTGTTTCGCGGTCAATCGTTTGGCCAATGCGTGGCATTCAGTCTTGACTGTTTCCTAGGTACGTATGTATGTTTGTAGATTGGTTGTTTGGTCTATCGATTGCTGACTGCTACATAGCTTGCGAAAATATTGTTTGCGCCTGCGTGAAGGTTTTGCTACATGGGAAAAGCAAATAGCAGCGGTTGACTAGCCCATTTGCTAGTTAGTTGGGCAATACTTACTTCGCCCTCCTTCAACGTCACCATCACCATCATCATCGCCTGTGCCGCATACGCTCTTGCTGCTGCCACATCTTCAATTTCCTACATATAACTGGCTGCGGCTAAGCATCTTCCGGCGCTGGCTTTCAATGATTTTGTTGCAAATCATGTTACGACCAGTGTGACCAGTTGCTTCGCGCCGCCTGTGTCCTCCTCAGCTAATGCTGATGCTGTTTCGGCTTGTTGCTGTAGCATCTGCTCCTCTTGCCGCCGTCATTATGCATAATGGCATGCTGCTAGCCTTCGCTTTTGCCTCCACCGCTAACTACTTTTCATTTCTGCAAATATCTCAATCAATTATATACGAATAAGACTGCTGTGTAAAGATTTTGTAGGCAAATCGTTCAGCGTTGTTCAAGCGCGTTTGGGTCAATAATATTTTACAACTGACGTCGGCAAGTCTCTCTGTTGTTAGTGGACTCGTAATTTCCGTGCAAGCGATGGCTGAATGCGCGTGTGTCATCGCAACGGCTTGTTGTAGATACTTGTTCGCTGTAAAATGGCAATAAAAAAAAAATTACAAAGACAAATTATTAATAAAGACTATCAGCCTTTCATTAAAGCGCCTTTGTTGTTGCTACAGCCACTTTGCGCATGCGCCGTGTTTAGTGCGCACATTCATTCTAAACCCTATATCTACTAGCATAAGTCTACTCGTTTGTTCACGCATATTTTTATACGCACAATTCTTGTTTCCTATGCATACATATGCTTTCGTGTTGTTGTATGTTGCATACCGCCGATCGTCCTGTTTATTAAATGTTGCAGCTCTTCATTTCAAAATATTTGCTAAGGAATGTGGTGACGTGAGAGGTCAACTATTCGCCTGTTATTTATTCGTATTTGAAAGCAGTGTGCCTGAAATGAACGATCAGAACACTGAGAAAAAAGATCGTTTTATTTGTTATACTAATATAAGGCAGTAGAGCACAATCGAGAATGTCTGCAACTTGCGACGTATAATGCGTTTTCAGAGTCTCTAATGGATAATAAAATAACTTGGTATAGGAACACCGAATGCTTAGGGGTGCGACTATGGTAGAATTGAAACGTATTAGCCTTTGTCTGACTGTGGGTGGATAATGTCACATATACAACTGAGTTGCTTAAACAAATTCTGCACAAAAATCGTTTTCAGAAATCTTCTGCACGTACTTTTCTAATGCTGTGTCGATCTTCTAATTCGTCGTCGTGAACTGGCGGAAACTTTTAATGCTTCCCATTACTCGTATCTGCAACTCTTAACCACTTCTTTTGTTGCTGATAATTTATATTTTCAGTGATTCTTTCGGCCCCGCAGCCCATTACTAAATCTTTTCAATACTCAGTCGATCTCTTGAGAGAATTTCAACTCGTTTAGGAGGAACTTAATCTGTTTTTCGATGACTAGACCCATTTGACCAATGGGAATGATTACTTTATTTTGTTTTTGGATCTGACTTTCAATGATCTTTGAACTGAATCTAATTCATTTTGTCTATGCCGACTGATCCCCACAAGAATAACGTTCTCAATTTCTTTCACTCGAAAAATATGGACGAAAGTCTTTAAGAGACTCAATATTGTATGGGTTGGGACGCTTGTGCATTGTACCGCTGAAAAGGGCGCCCGTGTTTCATTAGCTTCACTGACTGACCGCTCCTCCTAAGATTTCTTAAGTCTCTGCAGCTCTACCAGGCAGTACTTCGCGTTTGAGAAACGAAGGAGGTCCGTTAGATTGAGCTCCATTAGAAGCCATGAAGCTCCTGCCGAAGCCCATGTGTCTTAACCCATTGATCTCGTCGTCTTCTAAGCACTTCTCATATAAAGCCGAACCTCCTACACCAATAGTATTGAGGTACACGTTTAAGTAGAGTGAACGAATCTGTGATAAGGTCACGAATGACCGTCGCACAACCTCAGCAAAAGTCTACTTAGTCCAGCCGCAGTTCGAGGGATCATGAAACATTTTATACTTCCTGCAGTTTTAGAAACTATGCCAGCAGTCATAATATTTCTGTGACAAAATGCTACCGATTAGAGCTTAATGCATAGCTGATTTGCACCCTTTAGCCGGCTGTGAACTAATGACTTTCTCCACCGAGCCAGCTCCAGCCAGGGGCTGTATGCCTAGACATCCCCATAAACTCTACGTTATTTTGCCTCGCGCGTAAATTTAAGGCCTATGTATACCAGCTGAATTCCTTTTATGCCGTTTTCCCCTTTTGTACCAGCTACACAGCAGTTAGATTAGATTAGATTAGATTTAGTGGAGGGAGCAGGTTACGTAGTTACCGCTAACGAGACCGTTATATTGTAACAAAACTATATTTGACCTCGCGAGGTCCCTTGGGTTAATGCCATTTTGGTAATTTTCTTCTAGATACGCTGATCGTAGGAAGCGAAATCTGGTCCTAGTGAGAGGTTCATATATGCCACTTCATTGGCAATGACTCCACTGTGTCCCAACTGAGGCAAATCCGGTACCTGTATGCGATCAGAATTAAAAGCTGAAGGTAGCTCCACACCAGCTTTGAGGTGATCTCGAGCGCTCTACTAGAGAGGAGCGCCGATTTGCCTGTAAGAGTGTATGTAGATGTGATTATTAGTTGCTCCCCTTTAGAGTTACATTGCCTCTTTCTGGGTTTTATGCCGTATACTCCTGCTACGAAAAACAGCTTCTCATAAAAATACAATCGCCGTTCGGAGTCGGCGTAAAAGTGTAGGTCCCTCCGCTTTGTGTGACAACATCAAGGCGCACGCCACAAGTCGGATGAGAAGCTCGGCCAAAAACTAAGATATGTATAAGCGCCAATCTATTATTATTATTACTCCTGCTACGAATGCCGTGGTCAGTCTCGGAGCCGTCAGTATACCAAATATGGCTGTCCATCTGTGGTTTAGTTCATTCGTTGTACCAGTTGATTGTTTTCGGGGGAAAATGTCTTGAAATTATGAGTCAAGTCAAATCTCGGAAAGCACAGGTCCACCTTGAGAGTAGCAGGGTGTATAAGCTTCTTATCTTTCCTCTCTGTCCACTGATATGAACCTTGCACTAAACAATGGCGGCTCTTTCTTGCAATGTGTGGAGAATGCAGGTCAAAAAACGCTTCGGGACGCGCGATTTGTGTTGATCTCATTGCGCTAGTGATGCACACGTAGGCTAGTCGTTGCAGTTTGCTGAGCTTGGCCTGCGTGGACTTTACTTCTGCAGTTGTTGCCACCAACTGGGAACGGGATCTAAATTTGTAGGTTTCGTCTCGGAAGTGATTCCCGCTCCATTAAAGTCCCGTCCGTGCACACAATGACAGTGTCGGCTGGGAACCGGCCCCAACAATCGAGTGCCACTCTGAGGTGCGCCAAATCCGCCCTGAAGCTTTGGTATGAACGGCTCCTCTCCCTTCCGGTTTAAGGCTGCTAATAAGAGCTCGTTCAACATCCTCCCTCGCCCCGGCAGTGAGTTGAGAAGTGCCTGTACAAGACCACATCGATTCGGTATATCTATGGGATTAAAGGCCTCATTCATTCATCTACGTAGCCAGATGAAGAGGAGAGAGGCAGTATAGGATACTAAAGCTTTTCCAGTATTTATGTGCTTATTTCAGTCGTTATGCGTTATACCAACCAGATCCTGAAAATACCTAGACAAATCTAATATGGAGATTTTTCGCCAAGAAGTTTAGGCTTTGCTCTTAAATTTTTGCTAATACTATGGACCGCCTAAATACATTTTTGAGCTTGGATTTCGATATCTAAACCAATCAATTTCTAACCGTGTACTTAGGATTCCAGTGGTGCCTTTTTTCACTTGCCGCTTATTGTGCAATAATCCACCTAGTGTTGTGCCAGCAATGGGCGCGAATGTTAATGATTTGCCATTTAACTTAGCCTTGCGTTCTTAGCGTGCCACCACAACACATCCACACACACACACATGCAGGCAGTCCTAAACGAAATTGTTGCAACCCGCCACCTCCGCATTGAGGCTACTCTTTCGTTATAGCCTTAGACCTTAAATCGTTTATAGTTGGCTGAATGACTTGCTGTTGCTCGCTTAGTTGTTTTCTCTGCTG